CATATAAATAATGGAAAATATTTTATAGATCAAATTAGTTTATTTACATGTGTACAAACATCAGATTACTTTGCCTCTAGATAATTATACTCTTATGTAACAGCTATGATTTTTAATGTTGCTTCGATAGCTGTTATCAGAGCAGCATTAAAACCAATCTTTCCATATAAAACTCCAAATATTTCATTATTTTGACCACATTCTTGCCTATCAATTTTGACCACATTCTGGCCATCAAAAAAGTCTACTTGAAAAAAAAAGTTTAATGTGAAAATCACACTAAAATAGAGAAAAGCAAGCTTCGACTAAAAATACAAAGTTTTATGTTTGTATATGTTTATTATTTTGTCTGCCCAAACATTTTTTCAAAACATTCTCTTTAATATGAACATTTTCTTTAATATTAAACCAAAAAAGTGTTGATTTTAGATATAATTGATTTTATGATATAATTGGGTTGCAAAAAGTAGTGTTATTGTAAAAAGTCAACAAAAAGCTAAACCTGATTTATGTTTTAAGGATAGATTAGTATTAATCAAAGGTATTTATGAAAAATCCAAAACTAATTTTTTTTTGAAATTTAGACATTTTCTTTTATTGAAAAAACTCTGTATGCTTGAAGATAACAATTTCTGAGTTAAAAATGTGTTTAAAAAATTGTATGGTTGATAAAATGCAGATAAAAATAGATACATCTATGCCAGCCAAATAGATGAAGAAGGGGTGCAAGCCTGGTCAACAGGATTATTCTGCTTAACCTTTATTTTTTTTCTTAGGCGACTTTCTACAAAATAGCAGCTAGTTACAGTTAAAGTTTGCCCATGATGAGTATTTTTATTGAGACACCATCTCTAGTCTTTATTTAACCAAGAGCCCCAAGACAGGAAAGTTTGAAGCCATATTTTATTTCTCCTAGTTATGGTGTTAGCCAGGAAAAAAATTCATACAGCGTTTTTGCAAAATTTAGATGCAACCAAAGAAAAAAAAATAAAAAGGTCATTACATTCTGACACAAAAAAATTTCATAGCAGAAATATTTTTCTACTTTATAAATGTTTAATTCTAATTATTCAACTTGTTTCATTTTGAGCAATCTTCTTAAGTTTTCATTTTTAAATTGCTTCTCTACTTTGTTTGATATAGTCGGAAGAAAAAAAAACAAGAACAAAAGTCAATTGTTTGCAGTTTTAATGAATGAGTTATTAAATTTATTCATTGAAACTTTCTATTTTAATTTATTTATTCTATTTTAATTATTTAATCTATTTTAATTGCGTACATCGCTTTTAAATACAGTTTTGAAAGATTTCAACAGTTAGTTATATATATGGTCTTTTTTTATTTTTATTTTTAAATTACAAATGCTAAATAGCATTTAATTTTTAACATAACATTTTTGATGATTTCCACAATCCTCTTGTTACTTTTCAAATTGCTAAAACAACTTTTTATTTAATGCTTGTTGGTAAAAAATACTATACATATATGTTGGATTGCCAGAATTCCGGCTTTTACAAAGGAAAACACAGTAAAAAAAATTTTTTTTACAGGTTTGTATTTTATTCTGTAAAGGCCAAACATTTGGCAACCCCAATGTTTAAAAAAGCGCTGCCTCAAGGCTGTGAGGCATGCGCTTTTTTAAACCTTGATTATAGTCAAAGTTTAAAAAACCTTGCAAAAAGCGAAAGCCTTACTGCCTTGAGGCAGCGCTAAAAACTAATATTTCAATATTTATTTAAATAGGGTTTATAAATTAATTTATATAAAAAAGTTAATTAAACTTTTAGATCAAAAAAATTAAAATACATGTAAATTTTTAGGCAAATATAAAAGACAATATGTTTCATTGCATGTTTTATTTTTGATTTTTTTGTTGTTGTTATTATCGTTTAACTTAAACAGTTAATTTACCGAAAGTATTAATAAATCTTTTATAATAAAAACATTACTAACTTATTTTAAAGTATAATATTTATTAATATGCAAATTTCTTTGTAACTTTCCTAACTTAAGATAAACAGACAAAATGTAAATAAAGAGTTTTTGAATAATAAAGATAAATTAAAAAAATAACTTATTTAACATGTTGAAAAATATTAACTAGAGAATAACTGACATCAATAAAAATTTAAAAAAAGATTTTTTTCAACTTTTGAATGAATGATCTTGTTAATGTTAATGTTGCTTGTTAACGACGACACGTTTTTACACATTAAAAAATGTTGATCAATATAATTCTTTTCCTCGTCCCGCGTACTAATTGTGTTTTTAACTTGTCTAGCGCGACACTTTAAATCTGAGACTGATTTAATTTTTTACTATGTTCTTATGAACTTTTGGGGAAAAAATGATTTTAAATCAATTGGGAATACCACGTTATACGCGGTGCCATCAGACTGGCTAGTACCCTGCTATTCTTAGCTTAGAAAAGCAAACCTTAAAGGACAGCTGGATAAAGAATATATGGAATATATGCTGGATATGGGGTAGGTAGTACCGGTTTAGATGTTACCAGTAGCAGGGAGATTTTAGTGATTCTAAACCTGACCTGATGGAATTTAAAGTTAAATATTCAAGGGTTCTAATTGAGTTTTACTATTAGTCATATTGCTTATTTTTAAATATTTTCTGTTCTGAAAATCATTCAGAGGTTCCACAACATGTTTAAAAAATTCCCTTTTTACAAAAAAGTATCAAAAAATTCCCTTTTTTTGTAGAGCATGACTAAGTGTGTATTGCCTCTAATTTTCTCTTTACTAAGAACTTTCAATAAAATTGCTGTATTCTAAGATTTTATGAATAAAATATGTATTTCCTTAAGATAAAATAAAGTTTGAAAATAGTTTAAAAAGTGTCGACATAACGTTAGCAGTATTATGGTTGACTTGTGTGAATTTTTAAAACATTAAATTAATCAAAATATGTTTGATAGTGATAGTAATAGCTCTCAGGCAACCATGGGCAAGACATACTACAGAGTTGTTAGAAATTAAATTATCTACATGCAGAAGTGATAAAACAATTGTGGCTCCGGTACATGTTGTACCATTTGCTGCAATAACTGAGCTATCGATGTTGTGTCATGTTTTGTCACTAATAGTTTTGCAGCAGGTCACCACAATTTATGAGAAAGCCAACATTCCAATGAGGTCTCAGTGTAAAAAGTGAAAGTTGAAAAAATTTTCAAAGTTGTTGATGATAAAAATAAACTAAAATTTTATCTGTAGAATTGTCTTGACACACTTAACATAGACTAAGGCTACCTAATGTTGATATTTTGATCCAAAAATGATGAAAGTCTTTTTTTTTCTTGCAGTTAATGAAAACTGACCAGACCAGATGACTAGATCAATTATTTCTAGTTTCATCGTGACATTTATGACTGAATGGATGTGCACTTATAACATTGTGAAAATATGCACTAATACATGTTGTTCAACAATAGTTAAACAATCAATGGCATAGGTGTTCAGCTGGTATTTTTGGTTCCTTGCAGTTAAAATGGCCCCACAGGTACTGTTTAGTTCCTTTGTAACTTTAGAAAAATATCAAGCTCTTGGTGAAGTCCTGCTGAAAATGCAGCTAACCTATTCACTGCAGTCATTACAGAATTGCCTATGTTCAGAATAGGGCAAGCAACAGTTTTTGATTATACTGCTGATAAATCTGTTCATATGACTTGAAACCGAGTCATGTTTCTCAAATTTCTGAACAACACCAACTTTTTTTATCTGCCAGCTACTAAATGGAAAACCATTGATGCATATCTGCTGTCAATGGTGCTGCTAAAAGATGCGTTAAATTAACACCTGATTTTGTTGATACAATATACAGTAACAAACACTTCCAGACAATTCTACAATTTGTTGAATGTAGTTGCAGTAATAAAACAAACTTGAGAGTTATCAAGTAATTTAAACAAAAACTGCTCTTTTGAATTCTGTCTATTAAATTCTTTTTTCTGGTTTTTTAAGTATTTGTTTTGATTTTACAATTTTGGTATAAAATTACTGTTTTTTTGTAAATAAAAAAACAAAAAATAATGAAATAATAATAAGCCACAGCACTTCACATGTTTTAATAATAATAATAATAATAATAATAATAATAATATAATAATAATAATAATAATAATATACGTAATTTATAGCAAATGCTTAAACATTTGCAAACAGGGCAACTAACAAAGCCCCTCTATGATAAATGTCAATTTGTTTTGTTTTTCATTTTTAACAAAAGAAGCTGTTGATTTTTTGATAACTTGCGTATTTTAAAAATCCACCAAAAAACTAAACTAAAAAGAAAATCAAAAAAACAAAACATTGATAACAAAAAAAGACTTAATGAATGAGAAAATAAAAGAAAAATCTAAGAAAAAAATAAATTTTTTTAAAATTTTTCTGGTGAGTTCCTAATCCTAATTGGTGAATCTTATGGCTGTTTATAAACAAATTTATGGGTTCATCGGGTTATGGCTGTTTTGTTTGTTTGTTTTTTTATTTTCCCTAAGTTTAGACATTGAGTTCAGGTTTAAAAGTAAAAAAAGAAGATCAGAAAATGTTTAAAATTTAAAATTGGCTTTTCTTTAGATTAATTTAATTAACCTTGCTAAAGCAAAACACTCGGAAAATAGTAAAAAACTATAAAACATTTTATAAAACATTTTAATCTATTGAATGGATTTTCTATTTAGAAGTTTTTCACTTATAACTTAATAAAACATGCAAAAAAAAACTGTCACAATTTTATTTTAAAAAGTTATATGCATGATCAGGAATGACGTGCTTTTATTTGCATACGTCTCCTGTAAAATTAGCTTTTTTTTAAAATTAATTCACCTTCCCAAACCAAAACCTTCAGAAAATAGTAAAAATGCTATAAAATACTTTTTTACTGAAATAAATGCATACACAGTTGAACAATGCAGAAACTGTTATTTATTATAATAGTTCTAGTTATAAAGTACACATTTTAATCTATTGAATGGATTTTTTATTTAGAAGTTCCTGATTCACCTATACTTTTAGCAAATATTACAACATTTATGTCTATTTGGTTACAATGGTTGTCTCAGTTCACTGGAAACGATCCAATTATAAATTATACACTTTCATATCAGATAAATGGCTCTTTGATAACTCCACATATAATTTCACTAAAAGATACTATGTATAATATTACTGGATTAAATGCATTTTCTATATACAGAATAGATATCAAAGCTGTTAATAGTATTGGAGAAAGTCAAAGTACTACAATTTACATTCAAACAAATGAAACAGGTATTTGCCAATATAAGTTTTTTATTCAACAAACATAAAAATAGCATTTTATGTGAGTGTTTAACAGTATTTTTTATACAGATAGACTTTTTTTATTTTAAGAGTTAAAGTTTAAATTTCAAAAGGTTTTTCTTAAGTAGTTTGTTAAAAATAAAATCCTAAGCGCTCCTTCATAGCCAAAAATAGATATTTTGTGATTTCCAGAAAATAGTGTTAAAAAAGCTTTATCATAATTATTTTATCTCTCGTTATAAAAATCATAGAAATTCACAGAGCTACCTATTAGCTTTGTCTTCATAATGTGACAGTTTAATATATAGCAGCAGCTATTATTGTTGAATAAATTAGACTAAAATAATAAAATAATAGAAATATTCTTAATAACAGGAAAATATCTTTAAGTTATGAAGATTTTACCAACATGTCTAAATAGGTTTTTACTGACTTGATTCACATTACTGGTTATCAAAAATTATGTTATATAGTTTCAAAAAAAATAGCTTTTTGAGAAAAAATTAATTAAAGCATTAAAAATCTAATAAATACATCTCTAGGATATGTTGCTCTAATTTCAGAAGAGATCATTAAAGTCTTTCTAAAAACAGTAACCAATATAAGCTTCTGCTCCAAAAATGCTGTCAGTTAATTTAAAAGCAAGTTTATTATGCATTCATCACACAAGTGAAACTCAAATTTTTAAAAAGCTGTATATATATTGGAACTTCTTAGCACTTACTTTTCACATGAAAAAGGAGTAGTTAATAGTATTGGAGCTTTATTGTTGAGTTGAAAAGCAAAGAAAGAAATTTAATCAAAATAGATAAATGCCTGTAAAAAATGTCAAAGAATTTCAAGATAAATGCAATGGACTAAAAAGTAAAGTGAGGCTTATTGAATCTACTTATATTGAAACCCAAAAAAGATGATTTATAAGAAAGAAAGAAATTATATATATATATATATATATATATATATATATATATATATATATATATATATATATATATATATATATATATATATATATATATATATATATATATATATATATATATATATATATATATATTATATATATATATATATATATATATATATATATATATATATATATATATATATATATATATATATATATATATATATATATATATATATATATATATATATATATATATATATATATATATATATATATATATATATATATATATATATATATATATATATATATATATATATATATATATATATATATATATATATATATATATATATATATATATATATATATATATATATATATATATATATATATATATATATATATATATATATATATATATATATATATATATATATATATATATATATATATATATATATATATATATATATATATATATATATATATATATATATATATATATATATATATATATATATATATATATATATATATATATATATATATATATATATATATATATATATATATATATATATATATATTGCCAACCTGGATTTTATGTTTTATGGTATCTTTTATGGTATCCCCTTTGTATCAAACTTTTTTGCCAACCTGATGCTGACATCTAAGAGTTTGAGATTTTTCTAATTACCTTTTGTGTATTTACATAAAAACAGCACTATTTAGTATTTCAATATGTTTTAATATGATGTAATAATTGGTACAAAAATGATTCCCATAGGACATTATTAAAGATTAGCATCATTCCCTATGAACATTGTTAGCGATTGATATAATTCCCTCACAAATAACTCCATTTAAAAATTTTTTTTGAAGGAAAAAATTTCTAAATGGAATTATTTGTGCACGAAGAAATTCACATGTAAATGGTTATAAACTTAGATAAAATATGATACAAGAAAGAATAACGAATTCATTGATTTTTGATGCAAGTGTTAAATTTAGTATAAATTTAATTCAAAAACTGATTACTTCAAAATTCAAATAAAAAATGGGTAAAATAGCTAAAAAAAAAGATGATGATAGGACTGAATAAGAAAAAACAGAAAAATACAGAAAGGTTGAGGTATATTTACTTATTGAAGTACCCACTGAGGGATTTATCTCACTTCCATCTAATGGTGATATTCTATAAGATACTATCAATTTATTCCTTTTTCCTTCACGAGTCACAGGTTATATTCCAATTCCTTCACGAGTCACAGGTTATATACAAACCCACTTCTACTAATGTTGGTTGCAAATTGAAATCGAAATCCAAGGATCTTGTTTGTGAAAATGGTGTTTGTATAGACCCTGATAATTCTTGCTTGGTAACTACGATTAAAAAAATTTGGGATAATGCTGGGCTTGGCAAAAAATTTGTGATTTCTGGGTACAATATAAAAATCAATGTCATTAAAATTTAAAATACAAGAATTTGATTAAATTGTCTTCTCTAAACTGGAACAGCAGCCTTGATAAGCAATTAAAGTTAGAGAAAAATTTTCTCATAGAATCCTATTAGCTATTTGACATCTCCACTAAGAATTTTGAAAAAGATATTCTTGCTGATAGATTGAGAACAGATGATGCTAAGCTGGAAGATATAAAGTAAGTTTTTCTTTACTATTTAAAATAACTTAAGTAATAGCATATTATTTCCTTTAAAATATTTACGTTTAACTCTTTCCATGGTTTGGTCATCTTCCAAGAAAAACTAGAACAGTTAATAATTTATTAATAAATGTCTAAATGGATTTGAATATTTCTTAGTTTTTATGAAGACCAGAAGTTGGATAGGAAAGGATATATTGGAACAAAAGTCATTGAAGGCTGCAGTACGAGAGTACTGGATGCAAACAGGAGAAAGAACAAGCTAGATAAGTTGAGAGATAAAAAATTAGAGACAGAAAAACTTAAAAGATATCAATGATGTTTTGTTGTCACATGACTCCATGACAGAAGAGATTCAATTCAGCAGTGAGGAAGAAAAGCCAAACGAGGACTCTGAAATGATGGAATGAGGAAGAAGATTTCCTGGGAAAATGTTGGAAACGCAGGTGTAGTATTATTTTAACAACATAGTTGTAATTTTTACAAGCTAAAGCTGTTTTATTGAATATATATAGTTATAAATAGGTAGAGAAATATTATAGATGATACTTATGTACAATTCTGGAGATGATACTTATGTACAATTCTGGAGATGATACTTATGTACAATTCTGGAGATGATACTTATGTACAATTCTGGAGATGATACTTATGTACAATTCTGGAGAGAGGATAAATCTAGCAGTGAATGTTGAAAAGCTCATTGAATGTACTGCTATTCCAGCAACAAGGTTCAATGTTGGTGTACGACCTCATCAGGCAATTTTAAGTGAAGTATTTAAAGCTGGAGGTATAGAAATTAATGATATACCGCTTTCACGAAGAACACATCATAGAAAAAAGTTCAATATGTAGAACTTGGAGTGGATTTCAATAACTAATCATCTTAGAGGCCGATGGCTTATTTTTCATTTTTATACCAAACTGTTGGAAAAATTTCCACTAGGCTTAACATTATTCAAAAAAATTGAGCAACTTGCAGTCTCAGTGAGTTCCCCGGATGACGATACCAATGAAGACCATCTTTTAGGTGTTGTTCAATGTCCCTCTTCAAAGGGAGTTGACCAAGCAGAACAAGTGCACAATCTTTTAGAATATTATGGATGTAAAGAGCAGATTATTGGTATATGGTGTGATACAACTGCAAGCAATACAGGCGGAGTCAATGGAGCAGTCCAAATTCTTACAGATACTTTGAAATTACCAATGTTGTGGATAATGTGTAGGAGACACATAAATGAAGTACATGTATCTCACTATATGGTTGCTCTTACTGGCAAAAAAACTTAAGGTTCAAGAAGAGCTCTTTATGTCAAGCTAAAATGGCATGAAATCCGTTAGAAAGTTAATGAAATGAAAAACTTATTTAAATTGGACTGACAGAGATGATCTGAAGATTGGCTCTGTTCTTTGCACTGTTGCAGAGGAAGCTAAGACATTTTTGATTAATGCAACTACTTTTATGGTGTTTTCAAGGAATGATTATGGTACAGTTTGTAAGCTTGCCTTCTTCCTTGGAGTGGAAGTACATGATTTTAAGTTCCATCAACCTGACACCTGCCATGAGGAAAGATTTTTGAATGTAGATGCAATCTACATTCTGACTCTTTATATTACCAAAGATATCAGTAATATCTCGACAGAAAAAGGAGGGCTGCAGTTGAAGGATGCAAGTTTGTTCATTGCAATTTGCTATTTTCCATGGTTTTTGAAAAGTTTTTTAGGATTTCTGGCTCCCTACAATGATTTAAAAGCTATCCAGATAGCCTATGCGTTGAGAAAAGTCAGTAAGAATATTGGAAATACTTCTCAGCATGGGACGCCATACGTGGTACTTAACTCCACAATTTTGTGATTTGTTCTTTGGGGATAAAAAAGTTCCTACTGAAACAAAGCTAAGAATGCTGTTAGCTCTGATTTAGTTTGAAGAGCCAAATGAATTTCAGCAATGTAAACAGTCAAACGTACAAGTTGGAGAGACCACAGAGCTACCTGAGTTGATTTCTGAGCAAAGCTACCTTCTCTTCAAACATTTTAAAATATAAAGAGCAAGCATAAATAAATGGCTCAATAATAGTCTTAATACTATAGATGTTTTTAACCATCCTCAGTTGCTAGATTTTATTGTATGAATCAAAAGCATATCTGTTGTAAAAGATAATGCAGAAAGAAACATTAAGCTCATTAAAGATTTTATATCAGCTATTCGAGATAAATATCACATTCAAAATGTACTTTTTGTTGATAAAAAGTCTAGAAAAAATTTGACTAAGAGTATGACTAAAAAGGAGCTTGGGAACTGTTCAAAAAGTTGTATTTTTTGATAAATGTTTCACTGCAATAAAATCTTAAATTTGCTAATATTAATTTTCATGTTTTTTTTTTTTTTTTTTTTTGTATTTTCATATTTATAAATATAAACTATTAAGTTAAAAAGTAGAAAACAATTGGAAATGATTTATATGCATCTAATTGTCTTGTTTTAATTTTCTGAAATTTAAAAAAATTGTGTTTTCTATTAATGTGTTTTCTATTAAGGTAGCTTAACAATAAAACAGTAAAACTCAATTTTTACATCTAGCACTTCCTGTCAAAATAAAATCGTCAAATTTTTTTTTGGACTTATTTAGGTCACATAGAATGGGAATCAGTAGAGAGGTGTTTTTTTTTTTTAAGGGACACCTTAACATATATATATATATATATAAATATATAAATATATATATATATATATATAATATATATATATATATATATATATATATAATATATATATATATATATATATATATATATATATATGTATATATTTATTTATATATACATATATATATATATATATATACATATATTCATATATGTATATATATTCGTATGTATTTATTTATATATATATTTATATATATATACATATATTCATACACACACACACACACACACACACACACACACACACACACACACACACACACACACACACACACACACACACACACACACACACACACACACACACACACACATATATATATATATATATATATATATATATATATATATATATATATATATATATATATATATATATATATGAGTACAAATGACTAGTATAAGAATTTTATAAAATCTTTTTTTGTAAACAGTTGTATAAATTTGTTCATTTAAATTTGAATTACATTACACAAAAACAATTTTAAAAGTATTGAACTCATTTATTCACGTTTAATTACAAACGCTTTATCTAATAATAGTTTGCTCTCTCACTTGAAGCTATTTTAGTGCAATTCCTAAGTTTAACTAATTAAAAAAAAAGGTTTCAAAGAAGAGTATCAAGTGAACTTTTTATATATGAAAACAGAAAGAAATGCAAAACAAAATAATATTTATAAAATAATCAGTCGTCTTAATAAAAAGCGATCTCAACATATGCTAAAATAGAGTTTGAAAAGTTGATCAAATGCAATGTTAACAATTTAACTATTGTTCTAAAAAAAGTTATGATTCTTAAATAAGTAAATATCCATTGCTGAATATTGTCTCTCTGATGTATTTATAATAGAAAACATTACTAACTAAAAAAAGCTATTACTAAAAAGTAATCAATTATCATAATTATTTTGTTTTCTCCATAATTTTTTTTATTTAAATTTCAAAAAAGACTCGCAAAAATGCTGATCTTGGCGGGCAACGTATCTGCCGACATTGATAGGACTTGTGCAAGAGGCACATGTTGCCTGCCAAGTCCATTTTAGATGGACGTTTCACCACTCATGCACTTATTTACACCTGCCAAAGCCTGTATGTATGTATGTGTATATCTGTGTGTCTGTGTTGGTGTGTATGTACTGCAGATTAAAGGTGATATGAAACATTAGTGAGAACATCATACTGAAATGCTATTTATAACAAACATGAACTGAGGTTAAAAATTTTGACAACAGTATCTGCGTATTATTATATATTATTCTTATTATTATATAGTATTCTTTTTTTGTAATTGTCTGAAAAATTATTGTTTCAAAGTTGCTTTTTTATTTATATTATTATTTTATTATAATTATATTATTATAATTTTATGTTATTATTTTATTGTATTAAAGTATTTTACTTTTCTTTATTTTTATTAGTTCCAAACAATGTTAAAAATTTTTCTTGGATTGCTTCAGAAAGATCAGGTTTGGTTATATGGGATCCGCCTGATCATATTTATGGTGAATTAAAAGGTTACACGGTGAGCTTTAGAAATTTTTAATAGATTTCATTTAAGAAGAGGTTATAGCAGATGATGATGATGATGATGATGCTGGTGATAATGATGATGATGATGGTGATGATGACGATGATGATGATGATGGTGATGATGATGATGATGATGATGATGATGATGATGATGATGATGATGATGATGATGATGATGATGATGATGATGATGATGATGATGATGATGATGATGATGATGATGATGATGATGATGATGATGATGATGATGATGATGACTGAATGCCTTAAGGAAACTTTTTTCAACTTAATACTCTTAGTTAAAATTTCCTCATTTATATCATACTTAGTAAACAAGGGTTTTTCATATGTTTTATCAAACTGAGTTATTATTGTGGAAACATTATTTTGTTCAATAGTCAGAGACTAAGAACTTAAGTTCTTAGTCTCTGACTATTTTCAAGTCAACACAATTTATATTAATTATGCAATCATCTTTTAACTGGGTTAGCTGTATTTTATTTATATAAAAATGCCTCAAAGTTTATTAATATTAAAGCATACTTTTAACTGATACTTTTAACTGATGATATTTTTCTATAAAGATAGCTGGGTACCAAAAATTTCTCAAGTGTTTATCATAAGAACTTTAGCCTTTGAGTGTTTGATAGTTAGGCTTTGGGGTAATTCCATATGAAATCATCCATACCATGACACCCTTTTGTCTCAGAATTTTTTTATTTTTACCTCACTTCTAGTCCATATGAAAAAAAAAAATAACTGCGAAAAAGCCAAAACTACAAAGCAACATATAGTATCTTCATAATATTTGACATATAGTATCTTCATAATGGCTTGGGGAAATTTCCTAAAATTTGATATTCTAATAGATTTGATAACTACTTGAGCAATCCAAAAAGAGCACCCTCAAAACTCAATTGTGTCAGGAAATGCCTTGTTTTTCCAAGTTTGTTCAAAATTATTGACTTGTAAGTTTATGATTTTTGGAGGTTAAATGAAGACTGGCCCAAAGTCATGAGTAAAAAGTTTAATTGTATACCATTATTTTATCTTGAGTCTACTAAAAAAAAATGAGTGAAAAAAATTAGATTCATCAATTGTTTCTCTAATACTTGATCAAAATTTGTGTTTAAAAATAGTGTCTTTATAAAAAAATTTAAATTTTGTAACGAAACCAATTAAAATGTTTTTTAAAACATTTATTTGAATAAAACATTAAGTAATGTTATTTATTGACTAGTTTAGGACATTTATTGTCATGGGCCATGGGAGGGCCAGGGGGCCCCTGACAAACTCTGCCCTAAAGTAAAAAAATTGCTATCAAAGGTAATCTAACATTAGTTACAACAGAATTGATACGGAAATTAAAAGAAAAACAATTTGTTATTTTAAAAAAACTTAATATATTCAGTTATTTTAAAAACTAAAAACTAAATTTTTTTTTAGGTAATATAAAGATTTCCTTATACTTAACAAAACTTTTGCAAGAAAATAATGTTTATGTAACTCCAGGTTGGAAATTCTGCAATAAATGTTACAAAAAAGCAGTAGAAACAGATGAATAATTAAATTCACAGGAGGATCAAAAAGTGAAACAATTAAGTTAGATACAACTATAGGCAGTCAAACTAAAAAGTCTTTCAAAACACAGCAAATTGTCTGCAACAAAACAAAAGTTTGAGAACACTATTGACAGTGTTGCAAAAATGGTCTCATAAGCATATAACATTAAAGAAACTTCTTTAACAACAGAAATAAAAAGCCCAATACAAACAAAAAAATTAACAATAACCATGATCTAGTCATTTTAATGCATGAAATAATATAAAAATTCCATAGACTGACTCTTATCACCATAAGGTGCAAATGTTAACACTCTCACCAAAATCATGTACACATACAAAGATATCAAGCTACTTTGAAGTGTCTGAGTATTTTGTTTGAACTGCAAGAAAAGTTAAAAATGAGCATGGAATTCATTGCCCAAAAATCAATTGCCCAAAAATATCATTGCCCAAAAAAAAAACTTGAAACCCACTTTCACCAGAAACAGTTAATTTAGTGATTAACTTTTATCAAAGTGATGAATTTTCAAAAATGATGACAGGAAAAAAAGATTTTGTAAATGTTAAGAAAAACCAACATGTTCAAAAAAGATTATTGCTATGAAGTATAGAAAATAGTAATTAAAAAAAAAAAAAATTTGGCTGTAAAAACGATTTTTTCTTATACATTATTAACGCATATACCTGTGTTATACCAGTTTTTTCTTGATTTTATTTTTTTAAATCTTGAGCACTAATTAATGTAGAATGGCAAGATGTGTTTTTTCTTCATAAACACTTATAGAACTTTAGAAAAGTTAAATATCCAGCATATCCTGCAAAAATATCTGGTGCACCTCTAATCTTAATGAAGTACATCTTGCAATTATAAAAAAAACTTCCTAAACGTCAAAGTCAGTTTGTCAAAGTTTTGTACTCTTAAACCTAAATGGTGTATTACAACTAATGCGTCAGGTATCAAAATGTATGTGTATGCATACATCACCAAAATAAAAAATTTCTCATTGATTCTATTTGATGGAATAAAAGTTATAAAGATTTTATGGCATTGATTGTTCTCAAGAAAATGCAGAGTGTATGTTGCATCGATGTAACCAATGTCCTGGTATTAAAGCATTAAAAAGTTTTTTAGTGCAGGAGTTTATGGACCATGAGCTTGAAGAAGATATAGCATTCAAGCTATAGCAGAGTACCAATTATACAATACTACTATTACAATCATTCCCACTTGATGAATTTAATGAATTATTATGTGACAGCATTGACAACCTTACAACTCATTCATATATTGCAAAAATACAAAGTAGATACTTGAAAAACTGTAAAGAAAATTTTAACCAAAACGAATGCTTAATTTTAGGAACTTAAAGTTATCAATATATTGTTCCAGATGAGGTTTAAAGTTATCACTGGAGCAAAAGTCAATGTTCAATTTTTACAATTGTACTTTATTTTATAGAGAAAAAAGTTCTCCAACATAAATCTTTTTGTTACCTTTCAGAAGATGTTGATCATGACACAGGATTTTATTTACAAGTGTGAAATACTTTTCCAATGGTTGTGCAGCACAAAATTTTTAAATCTTTATCAATCTTTGTCATCGCAGTTAACACTTTGATTTAAATGCTGAATGAATATTTTTTTCTACCAGTCATAAATCCCCCTGTGATGGTATTGGTGGGACTGTTAAAAGAGTAGTATGTTAAAAAATTCTGAAACAAATAACTACTGGGCAGGTTTTAGATGTTAACTTAATGTACACCTTTTGTAAAGCCAAGATAATTTGTTTTATTTAATTATTTTCTAAAGATGAAATTGACCAAACATGAACACAATTGGAAAAAGAAAGATTAGATGGAAGGTGGACAGTTCCTGGCACAAGGATGTATCTTCATTTTATTCCAATTGCTTCAAATACTAAAAGTTATAAAAAAACAAGTATTGATACATATATTGAAATATTCCAAAAAGAAAGCATAATAGCAAGATTACATTAAACATTAAAAAAAATAATTTTATTAATGTTTTTATGACAGATTTTGGTGGGTAGGGATTGCTAAAGATGGAAGTGAGCATGATATAAAAGTCAGATTCATGCATCCACATGCACCAGGTAAAAATTTCTTTTGGCCAATGTGAAATGACAATTGTTGGGTGCTCAATTCTGAAGTTATTTGCCTAATTTCTATACTCACAACAATATAAGGTCATACATACAAGTTGTCTGATTTAGATTCAGAAAATATAAGCAGTTGTTTACAGAAAAAAATTTAATACATTTAAAAAATTTTTGTTGTAATTTTATTTACCTATTTTGCATATAGAATTTGTCTTTCTTTTTTTCTTTTTTTTTTTCAAATCTTTGGATGGAAAGCTGAGAAAGAGGGGGGTTTAAATAAATCCTATTGTCCACCTATGTCAATGACTATATTAGTCTTAAATAAAGATATTGATTATTAAAATGTTTAACTGAACATTTCAATACCTTTGGTTTTAAAAAATGATTTTTAAAATTGTGAAAAGATCTCAGTTTTGAGTGCTTACTTTGAAATAAGTGGTAAGTATTTATTGATTTAAAATAATGATAATAAATTATCATTGATAATTTATTATCATTATTTTATAATAAAATAATGATAATATTTTATATCATGTTAATTTATTATCATTATTTTATAATAAAATAATGATAATATTTTATATCATGTTAATTTATTATCATTATTTTATAATAAAATAATGATAATAAATTAACATGAACTAAAAAAAAAATGATGTTTTAAAATTGAATTTTAGTAATTATTTATTAATAATTCATTTATGTAAAATAAAAAAAAATAAAAATAAAAATCCAGGAAGATTAGGGGGTAGGGCAGAGTTAATCAGGGACCCCCTGGCCCTCCCATGGCCCATGACTATAAATGTCCTAAACTAGTCAATAAATAATACTATTTGATGTTTTATTTAAATAAATGTTTTAAAAAACATTTCAATTCGTTTCGTTACAAAATTCAAATTTTTTCTTAAAAAAAAAACAATTTTTAAACACAAATTTTGATCACTGGTAATCACTAAAAAGCTGAGTCAGCATTATTTCAACTAATGATATCTCTGGAACCCATATGTATTTTTAACTAAAATTTTTGCAGTTATTTTTTTTCTTATATGGACTGCAAGTGAGGTAAAAATGAACAAATTCTGAGACATAAGGGTATCAAAAATGTTTTTGTTTTTGAAGATTTCATATCAAATTACTCTTTGGAGTTTTTTGTTTTTTCCAGTTCTTATTTGGAAAAAGTCAATGATAAATTTTATTTTCTTAATTATCTTCAAAAAGTTTTTAAAAAAGTTTATTTTTTTTACTTAATAAAACAATCAGTTAAGCATATTGCTGATTTAAGTAATGGCCCTGGTGAATAAGACATTT